CGGCCGCCCCCCGGTCTCGCCCCGTCCCCGGGTCTCGCCCCGTTCCCCCGCTGCGGCACCGGCGACCGCAGGTTTCCCCCGGTGCCCGCTTCGGTACCCGGGGCCGAGCTCCCTGCAGGCCAGCCAGGCTGCAGAGCGACAGTCCCGGCGTTTGCAGGGAGGCTTCTGTCAACCCGATCTTTGCAAATATCTAAGAGTTATTAGATAACTCTTAGGAGCGTTTAGTCCTATACCTTTTTGTGTGTGTGACCGAAGTCCTTCAAGACTATGGAAATAATCAGCTGCGTGCACGCTTGGAGCCGGTCCCCACCGAGCCTGCTGCCCTCCAAAAGTTACCCTCCTGCTGCCACTGGTGCAGCTCCACAGGAGATAGCAACCTCAGTGTCCGCTGAGATAAGGGGTTGTCAGGCTTGGCTGGTTTTTCAGAATAATTAACAATTGTCTGGAAATACCTTTGCAAATTGTACACTGAGTGGCTACTTACTGTAGGAATTTTAAAGTCTTCTGAGTAAGTTTGCACCGTGCTTCCACTGCGTAGAATTTGCTCTGCACTGGTGCCTGACTCTGCTTCCAGTTCACCCAGCAGTAATTGCTTTCTGGTGTGGAAGGTTGAAGACAACGGGCTGTAATTCTGGCCACGTTGCTCTCTGATGTTCATTACTGGCTACGAAAACTGAGATGTCTTGACCTTGCTAGTGCCCGTGGGAAGGGTCAGAAAACAGTGTAAAATGTACAACACATTCTCTAATCGGAAGGGGGAGCGGATTGCCTTCAAGCTTGCAAATTAAAACCTCCTCACTGAGTTGAGCGAATTAGCTCAGGAGATCCAGTTTTTTATTTTTACCCAATGCGGGTTGTGAAGGCAACGTGCCGGAATGGGATGACCTGCCTGCGTAAGCCTCTTCGCCAGCGGGATGGTGCCAATCCGTGGCGTTTGCAGCAGCCGTTGCAACCAAATGATTATAATCACCAGCGTGAGAGGTGGGAAGATACATTCCAGACCCCCAGCGTCCCTCGCGCTGCCAGGTTACTTCATTCCCTGCCAGTTCGGGCTCCCTGCCCTCTGAAACGAGGCACCCCAGCCGCAAGCGGCCCCGTAACGCTTCATTGCGCAGGGCAGGATATTCCACTGTACGGTGCGGGGTTGCTGGGCTGGGAGCACGACACAGGGGCTCGGAGGGAGACGAGACCAAATTCAACCCACAGCAATAACCCCTATCTGCAGTCCTGGGGAGAAAGCTGCTCATGTTCAGAAGGGAACGGAGCAATGGAATTTGTAGAAGTTGAGGACTTTCGGGATGCGGTATCGTACAAAGAGGACTCAGCTGGAACACCTCTGACCAGTTCTGCTGGAGTTTTCCTCAAAAATACACTTGTATGTATTTTTGGGCTAAGGAGCAAAGAACCAAAGGAGCTTGCGGCGGAGCGATTGGCCACAATAGCTACTCGCCCCACACGAGTCACTTCTGTGTGTGCCATTTTGACACATTTAGTACTTTCCTTGTATTTTCAGTCATCTAAAAAGAGCCTTTTAATGAAGAACAAACATATGAAGTTAATAAGCGTAAGTAAAACAAGGCTGAAGTCTTTGTTCTCTCTGCTCAGGATTTTTTTTTGTGTTGAAAATGAAAAACATCTTTTTGATCAGAGGTTTAGAGGTTCCAAATACTACTCATGACAGTGAACACAAAGGTCACATACATAACACACATTTCACACGCTGGAATCCCATTTCTACACTTGTACAGATGGCTTTCATTTTCTGCAAGGTATACGATACATTGCAAATTTTTAATGACGCCATCAGCGTTGATTTGTTGTGCTGAATGCCCCGAGAACATCGTACAGCGCGGTGATGCGGAACTGGGGAAAAGAAAGGGGGAGAGAATTGGATCAATCCCATCCCTGCCTTACAACGAAAAAGAGGAATTTTTGTAGGTGAGATGAGATTCCCAAATCCCTTTCCCAACTAACTTTCTTTCACCTTAGAAATAAATCTTCTGGTGGTGTGGGCAAGAAATATTTGAGGAATCTATGGGAGAGATTTCTGTGGACCAGTCAGCTGGTTTTAATCCGGGACGACCCCCCCCGCTCCACTCCCCCACTCGTTCATTGTGAGCAGCATCCCCCGTTTGTGCAGGGGAAGAGAAGGGCCCCATGTCCCACATTTTTAGCAAAAATAGACAGCAGCTATTTTCTTTAGTCAGGCGAAGGGAAACCACAGCACTGGGTTCTTGGTCCTTCTGGTTTCTGGGCTGTGCCTTTTGAAATTGAAAGTTTCAGGCCCTTTCCCAGACTTCATGGTCTTCCTCCTGTTTCCCAGCGTCTGCGCGGCGGTTCTGACCCAGCCCGTTCAGCCGGAGCTGGGCTCGGTGGCAACCGTGGGCCACAGGACACGGAGGGGGAAAATGAAGCCTGTTGCATAAGAAAGTGTTCCTTCCAGATGATGACTTGGCAAAACTGATGCCTCTGCAAGCCACATTATCAGGCTAGAAAGGCAAATTACAGACTGCAGGCGTCCTAAAAAGCCTATTGTGTGGGTGTGCGGAGGGAAAAGAGAAAATTCCAGGAAAACCAAATTTTGGTCACTGTTGTCCATAGATAGTCAGCTTCCTGGCTTTGGCAAGAGAGAGCACAGCAATATTAAAAAAGGAAATTCCTTCAAAGTAAAAATTAAAAAACCTGATGGCCTCCAGACTTCCAGGATCTCGAACCAGCAATGTTATTCTTTGCTGAATCATAAAGGGCGCTCATTTTTTTGGTATGTTGATGATGAATTAAAAAGAGTGACCGGCAGCTGGAGCTTTTAAAGGGGCAATGCAGAGGCAGGTCTGATTGCGATGGGCAGCTGGTGTCACGCGTGGGCTTGGAGCGAGGCTAATGCCATTTATCGGGATGGCCG